TGCAGACCTGCCTGCCTTCCTTCCTCCCCCCTCCCCCGAGGTAGGCAAGAGCCGGTGCTGGGGGCAGCTGGCTTAAAAACCGGTTCCTCCCAGCACCAGCTCCTCAGTGCCGCCTGCTCCCCTCCCACTCCCCTGTGCTGCTGCCTCTATTAGAGGGAGACTGTGTCTCTGGGGAGACTGTGGCGAAGCAGCCCTTGTCTGTGGGGAGGCTGAGCTCCCCAAGGACAGAGCTGCTCCACATTCCACAGAGCAGCCTCTGCCCGTGGGGAGCTCAGAGGCAGCAGCGTGGGACGGCAGGTGAGCCGGTCTGCGCGGGGAGCTGGTTTTTAAACTGGCTCCCCTCGTGGACCAGCTCCCACCTGCTACCTCAGATAGAGAGGCAGCCGCACAGGGTGCCTGGGGGTACCCAGGAGTGGGGCTGTAGTGCACTGGCTGCCGGCTCCGCTCCTGGGGATTGTCGAATAGTCATGTAGCTGATAACATTTTATTTGGTTACATGACTGTTTAGTTACACAATATCTAACATCCCTAGTAATCTGGACCCAGGATCCCCCCCTCCCCATACTTTGCTTCCCATGCTCCAGCACCCTGCCCTGCCTCCTGCACCTCCCACACAGTCCAACCCCCTACGCTGAGCCCCTCATACACCGCAAGCCTGACTCCTGCACCCCCACAGTCCCAAACCCCTGCCGGAAGATTGACAGAAAACAGCCTGAATGCCTGTGTGAAGCTGGATTTGACCAGGTAGGATGTAAACGTCAAAGAAATGTGTGAGAAGAGGGAGCAGCCCAAGTCTGGGAACACAATCTTTCCTTTATGCTACTATTAATCATCATGTCGATTATCAATAATATTTAAGTTGTAGATGTGCAGTCGTGCAAATGAGCACTCTTATACTGGCTCTTTGTGGACCACTTGTTCTGAATTGTGATGTAGTTTGGCTCTCTGGTTTGAAAAGGTTGCCGATCCCGGATGTAGATAATAAATTCTGTCTCCTAAAGTGAGAGTGTACAAAATCTAGCACAGTCGAGCCCTGATCTCAGTAATATCAATATTAAAACTGAAGACTGAACAAAATATTGCTAAGTATTTGGATTATTCCTTTCTAAGGAATTAACCAGAGTAAGAGCACACGCAGCTCCATGGGGCCAGACTGCCCCAACCCCCACCCCTCAGCACACATGCACTGGCGCTATTTTGCCAATAACATCTTCATCTCAAGCCAGACAAGTCTTCCTTGAAGTCTGACATCCTCATCATGAGTCTCCATGTGCCCTGTGGTCCCCCATTCCCAGCCTCCTACCCCCTCACCATTTCGTATCTCGCCCGGGAACGTTCGCTTTGGAATCTGGCAAACTCCCGCCGGTCGTGAATGGTGACAAGCAGCTTCCAGACAGCCAGGAGGACAATTCCTATCAGCAAGATACTGCCCACTACGGCTAGCAAGATGGTCAGGGCGTTAGGTGCAGAGCCGCACTCTAGTGAGGAGAAAAAGAAAATGAGCTGCGATGAGGGTCAATGCCCTGCACCAGGTAACATCAGAGCATTAGATGCAGGCAGTGTGGAGACAGCACAGTGTCAATCGCTGGAGACTGCGTAACTCCACCAACTCTAATGGAATCGCTCCTCATTTACCCTGCTGTCAGAAAAGGGTCGTCCTGATGTCCTTTCTAACCGAAGGTTTAAAGAGATTTTCTGTAACACAAGTAGGAGAAATCCTGCCCGATTGATGCACATTGCAATATTCCCATTGACGTCAATGAGGCGAGAATTTCACCCAACCTTTGTTTAGGATGTACGCTTAATCGACTGCAATGCTCCCAGCAACATCAGCCGGGTTTGTGTAAGGCAGGATGACAGAAGGTTAAGAGCTTAATACAAGTTGCTAGTTCAGCTCCTCACATCCCTAAGCATAAAAACAGGAGATCATTAGGATCATTAAGGTCTATTAATGAATGGCTCTGCTATTTCAATTAGGGATAAGATGTAGCACGTGCAAAATCTGCAGTCTCCTGAGGCCAGATCTATAATGGCTTTGCCTCAGGAGACAGGTGCAGACTGCTAGCAGCAACTGTGCCATGCTGACTGGTTCATTTCACAACACTGAAGGGGAAAACGAGTTGCAGATTATTAGAGTAATACACGTGTCGCTTGCCAGAAACACAGCTGTCTGCAGCCAGGGTTTGGAGAGACCAGGTCACATGTTAGTGGACACACTTACATTCTAAGCCGCGTGGGCCAGGATCAGTGTTTGGAAATAGAAAAAAAAATCTATAGTAGCTGTGGCTTATGAAGAGGAGCACTGAGAGCTTCACCATTAACTCAGCTATCGGGTGGTTCCACAGGGGTTATATTTGGAAACTCAACACCTTGGATGCCTTTAGACAGGATGACAATACAGTTCTGATTTCTTCAGCCGCGTCTGTGATACGAGTTTTGCAGTTATCTGGTGCCAGTATCAGAGAGCAGCATGAAGTTCAGCATTTGGCTGAGGGGTGTTGGTTCTCCAGCCAATGCATCCAGATCCCTTTGCTCTCATCAGGGATGGCTTTCAGCCCAGACACTTCAAGCAACAGTGAGGGGGGCTTTGCACCAGCTCAGCTGACAGACAGCACCAATCCCACCTCCGGCCCAGTGGCAGGTCCCGAGGATGACGTCAACTCGGCTCGCCTCTACTCTGGGACCACGATGGAGTCACTCTCCCGAAACGGCTGTGACCCTTCCTTGTGCCAAACTGCCTCCCACTGCCATGGCTCCCCCCTTCCCTCCACTGCCCCACACTCTGTTGCACTTTTGTGAGGGAAATCTGTTGCAGGGGCTCTCTCAGACTCCTCCCTCTCCTAGGTGGTGTCTCTCCTAGGCCCCACCTGAGTCCTCCAGATCTTCAGAGTGCTCCTGCTATCTCAGTTCAGAAACCACACCCCATCATTTCACAAGGAGGCAAACACTGTATCTAGGGACAGGCAGAAATAAGGCAGTATGCATGCACACGCACGCTATACCATCACAAAGTCTCTTTCTACCCCATCTTGGAGGCTTCCCTATTGTGGGAGAATGTAATGAAAATGGACTCATTTGGAACAGTAGAGATACAGGGACGTAGGACCAGAGATAGCTGCACAGCCTGATTTTCCCCTCCCTATCTAACCCTGCTTAGCGTTCCATGTATTGTAAGGTCAGCCCTGACTCAGTTTCCCCAAGCATCTATCTTAATTTCTTTAAAAGCCTGTTTTGGAGGAGGACTCCAAGCTTTCTCCTTACCCAGAGTCTGCTAGGGCCACAATTACTGGGAAGCACTTAGCCTTTATGACAGCTGGGCACATTCAGCAGTCGCCTAGCATCTCTCAGAAGCTGGCATTTTTATATCAAAATGAAAAACAGATGCGGAAACAACCTGGCTCTTTGAGGACGGTGAGATTGGACTTTCCGCTGGGAAGTTCCGAGTAGGTGAACTTCATCACACAGTCATTCACGGGGTAGACACATAGGACCGAATGCTGGTCATCCGTTTCTGGAATGAAATGAAGAACCCTCCTCAGGCTCTATTAGCAGTGTCAGGGCTGGCAGCTCCTGATGCAGGAGCTCAGTGCATTTAAAACACACGTTACAACTGTGAAGACATGCTGCAGCATTTGGTGGGACCGTGTCTGTACACGGTGACATAATTAGACATTTGTTGTTCAGCTGTCTGCAGGAAGAAAAGCCTCTACCATCCAAAGATCTGCCTCAGAATGGGATGAATTCTCTGGAACACTATAACTCTGGGGACTTTGAATTCCTTCAAACACAAGGAGCTTCCTGTGGGTACATATGGTGCACATTACGGAACAATTCAAACAACTGAAATAGAAGAAACCATTAACACTACAGGGAAGAAAAACACCCACAACCCAGCCACGGTACCGTAGCTTTGTGTCTTATCGTCTGGACACTCTTCTGTGAATACAAGGAAATGGCTGTGAAGGAAATAGCTCAGTGGGTTTAGCCTATTTCACTCATACAGAAAAATTCAGAGGGGTCTCTAAAGAAGGACAAGCAAGTCAGAACCTTTACAAAATCCCTTTGCGTCCCTGCAGATATCTGAGGAATGTGTGTGTGTAGGGGGGAGCCAAACAAAAAGAGAGCCTGGAAATTAGCCTAGTGCGATTCTGATTTGTGGGGAAGGTTGAGGTTTAAACAGAACAACAGACATTTGGAAACATGAAGATCTGGACAGAAGAAAATCCTCGGTACAGACACCCTTCAGCGAGGGGCACTCTGCAGATATCCAGATAACCACAGCAGAGAGCCAGCATGGTCTGGTGAAGGGCACCAGTGTCAAGAATTTTCTAACTCCCTGCCTACTGCATAACTTTGGGCAAATCACTGCCCCCCTCGGCTTTTGCTCTACTAAGGCTATAAGAGCTCAGGGCAAGGACCATCTCTCATGACGGGTATGCTGACCCTACAAAGCAGAGGGGTGACTGCAGCTCAGGTAGGCATGCCCATGGTAGCTCCCATCTAGCTAATGTGGCTAAAAAAACAGCAGTGAAGACACAGTGGCACAGACCCCAGCATTTGCAATCACACCTCTACCTGCAAGGTAGACATACCCTGTGTGTTTCTACAGTGCTTTCTTTGCATACACGGGGCACCAGCCTTGGCTGGGATTTCTAAGCACCAGCATAATACAAGTAATAACAAATGGTCATGCACACAAACGTTTTGAAGAGGTTAAACTCACATTCAGTGCTGCACAGGACAGTAAGATACTCAGGACAAATAAAAGCTGAGATGATCTTTTGTTTTGACAGTGCCACCCTATGCAAAAGGCAGCCATTTTCATGTTTCCTTCTTGCTCTTAAATTCGAAAAGCTGCAGATAAAATGATGGATATTGGCCCATTTTATGAGGAAAACAGTGAACTGCTGGCATAAATGAGGATGTTATCAAAGCCACAATCCATCGCTCAACTTGCATTCCAAATGTGCTGAATTCTTTTCACTCCGGAAATAATCAGGAGGTTTATTTTTTCAAGACCAAGACAGAAGGGGGGGAGAGGAATAAGTGGAAGGAGAAAAGGTGAAAGTGGGGGAGTGGCAGGAAATTACAAGACTTGTTTAAGCAGGAATAGAAGAGCAGGCTGTTTGTGCTACTGCTGCCACTAGAACTAAAATGCCCATCAGTGGCTTCTTTGGAAATCTTGTTATTTCAGGGAAATTACAAGGTGAGTGGAAAACAATTAGTCTGATTTCAACTCTTTTGCCCTGGATTGTCTCAGTTCCAGATCTTTTTAGTGCTTAAAGCAGAGGTGTCATCTTCCAAGGGCTGAATTTCATATTTATTTAAAATCTGTGAGATGGAGTACAAATGTCAGATTACTCTTGATTTCCTCCCACTGGGCTTGGTGTAAGGTTTGCATCGTGATCAAGGGCAAAATATGACTTTTGTGTACGAACTAAGCTTGCAGGCTGCGATTTGCAAATGGGCCTCAGGGAGTTGAACACCCACATCACATTAATTTGAAATCAGAGTTGGGCAGCAAACTTGAACTTTCAAGCTCCGGTTGGCAGTGTTAGTAGTACCTGCTGAGAGCCTTATGCTCAGATTCAGTATCAGTAGGGAAATGAGCACATAGATGAGCCTGCTACTTCACCTTATTATTTCTCTTCCTTCTGCATTTCCTCTGTGTCATTTTCCTTTCGGTCTTTGCCCTGGCCTCACTAAAGGAACGATTACCCCTCTGCTACAGTAACTGCCACCAATGGTGCTGCCTCCATGTTAACTCTAATGTAAGTAAATATCTACATTCCAGGCTTTAACTGTGCACAACAGAGCGTGAATGTACCGTCAGCCGAACCTGGGTTGTTAGGTGCCCTACTCCATCTTCCAAACCACGAGGGGAGCTTGCAAACAGCAGGCATGAGTCTGTGCTTTCATCCAGCACAATCTCACAAGGTGCAAGTCAGCACAAAAATCTGGCCATGGGTGTTTCAGGACTTAGGCATGAGACATGGGGATGCGTCATTTGATAATTCCCTGTTCTGTTCATTCCCTTTGGGGCACCTGGCATTGGCCACTGTCAGAAGACAGGATACTGGGATAGATGTACACGCCAACTTCGCCTCTAGCCGGAGAATGCTTTGACCCCCCACCTCAGGCCCCCCCCCACGGGCACCTCAGGCCCTGCCCCCACTCGACCCCTACCCCAAGCCCCTACTCCATCCTGCCTCTTCCTGCCCCAGCTCCATCCCCACCCCCAGCTCTTCCCTCAAACCCATACCCCCAATTCTATCCCTTTCCTCAAACCTCTGCCCTGCCTCTTTCTCGCCCCCACGTGCACCCCATCCCTGCTGCTCCCCAGGGAGTGTGCCAGAAAAAAAAATGTTGCTCTAGCAAGATACGTACTTGCTAACTCTTCCTGTTCAAACACTTTCCATTGGGTTGCATTCTGTTCCCCTTAATTCATGCATTAGTTGTAGCCAAAAAGCACATCACACAACTCAGGTGGCCTTCCTATTCTTAACTCCTAGGCTATTACACTAGGGTGGCCCCAGACAGTGTAACTTCATGGCTGTGGCAAACTACGCCGGCTGCTCAGAGTTGGAGATTGCTAGGGCAGTAGGAAGTCCTGGCCAGATTCCCTATCTTGGCAGCAAGAACAGGCATCACATCAGCTCTACGCTGCTGGAGGCTGTCCCTGTATGGGGGTGATGCTGGGTTTAGGATCTCAGTGTCAGCGGTGTAAGGCACAGTGGCAACACTGCACAAGATCTGGGCCACTGTACGGCCCCAAATAACTATCTTTAAACACAGCTGTGGCCTAATCATCTCTCATGTTTTCTCTTGCCTGGATGGACAGTGAGGGATGCTATAGCCACAGAGCGCTTGGTTTTTACTCTGATGACCCTGGTCTACACTAGAGAGCTTTTTCAAAATGACTCCCCTTATTTTGAAATAACAAGCAACGCGACCACACTACCAAAGTCTGTTATTTCGAAATAAGGGGCTGGTTATTTCAAAATAACAACTCCTGCTTTCCATGAGGAATAACGCGTATTTTGAAATAGCGGTAGTATGGACACTCCACTCCTGCTATTTCAAAATAACTATGCCCCAGAGTCATTCAGAGTAATTACTCCTCAGTGCCTCCTGGGGCTCTAAGTAAAGGTAGGGCATCCACACGAAGGGAGCCTGCCTTGGACTAATTTTGAGGCTTCCCTGTGGAGTGGAAATGCTCTTTTGAAATAGTTATTTGCTATTTTGGACATTATTTCAAAATAAGTTATTTTTTGAATATATATTCAATGTAAGTTATTTTGAAATAATTTCCTAGTGAAGACATGCCCTTGGATACATAGCCCAAACTAATGGGGGAAGATCCTTAGCTGGTGTAAATGTATGTAGCTTTGCTGGAGGATCTGGCGCATTCTGACCTAAAATGGTTATGGAATGCTAGCCAATCAGGTCAATAAAATAATAATAATAACCACCACCATGTGATAGCACAGCTAGGCCCAAACCATTTTTAAGGGTGGTTATTTTTGCAGTATTTATGGGGTCATAGATTTTAAGCTCCTGTCTTCTTACACATCTACAAAGGGCCTACACATCCTTGGTATTTTGTATATAAAAAGACTGCTCTGAGTCATTTTTGCTTCACTACACAGCCAAAGCTTCTGCGTCTGATTAATACTCTCCTGCTGAAGGCTTTATTTGACTAGGATCTTGGCGAGTTTCAGCAGTGTAGACTGGTATGGATGTCACTTAACCAAGACAGATTCCTATTAATCACAATGGCATTAGGGTGTAACCAGGCATGCTCATTTTGCATTGTTCCTGTCTTCATAAACTCCCCCAGTTTATTCCTGCCTCTGGAATAAAGCAGAGAAAAATCTAGGTATATCTCTAAGACTTTCTAGAAAGAAGAAACAGTGTAAAGTCTCAGCAGGCAATTAATTATGACATTTTAATTAATAAAATGTTGATTCAGAAGATATAGCCAACATAGCAGCAACCCTCAAAAAGAAAGCTGAAAGCAAGTGTAACTGGTATTACTTATGTAAACATCTGGAATAGATACATATTAAACCAAACAGAGAAACCTATTTGATTAACAAAAATGGTTTTTCACCATAAGAGATTAGGTAGGGAACTGGCTGATTTTATTTTTAAAAACAAATCATTTGCACGCTCATAATGTACCAGGTGAATTGAAATGTAGCGTTTAGCTTCTGAAATCCAGATCTAATCTGAATCTAGTAACTTTACTTAGGGTATGTCTACATTGCAATGCTATTTTGGGATGCCGAATGTATCCCAAAATAGCTACCCCGTGTCTTTTGAACGTATCCACTATTTCGAAATAGCAGACACACTATTTTACCATCCCTGCAAACCTCATTCTACAAGGAGTAAGGGATGGCTCAAAATAGCCTATTACAAAATAGCCTAGGAATAAGCTACGCAATTTACATAGCACACATTGCGTATCTTATTTCAAGTTTCAGGTACTGTGTAAATACACCCTCAATGTCAAGATTTCAAGTGTTATGTGTATCTGAAATGGATAAGAGAACTAACTCAGTACAAGTTAAATACTTGGATCTGGATGTGTGTTGTAACAGGGATGAAGGTAGGATAATCAGGGTAATACAGTTCTTTGAAAAGACCGGTTACATCTAGCAGCCAGTTGCAATGATCCCATGAATCAAGTTCCCATAGGATTCTGCTGTACATTACTTACTGAGGACATCCACGCGTGAAATAATCTCATCCTTGCAGTGTTTCTGGCAGGTTTGGTTGTCAGCCAGTCTTCCTGAGCTATATAACATACACTCAATGCAGTCCCTTCAGGAGGGAGACACAAAGAGAAAGACTAAACAGCTTTGAAACCACAGGAATATTCAAACATGCCACCCAAACGGTTTGTCAAAGGGAATCTCGCCCTATTACGCCACAGAGTCACACATCTGCGTCACAAAAGAAAGAGAAACCTTTTGTCCAAGGATCTCTAAATTAAGGACAGAAAAACCTGCAGGTGGGACTAAACTGCAAACTTCCTGACTGCCTGAGTGTTTGTATTTGGACATTTCGTTTAACCCATTATAGAAATGGGTGGCAGCTGTTAAATTTGGATCCAGCCCTGAATGTTCTCTAATTTCAGGTGTTGGGGGACCTGAAATGGCTGAAGACAGAAAAGGCAGACACCATAAAGATTTATTGGGGGGGTAATAACCACTTAAATGATCAAAGTGCTGTTTTCCAGTGTATTATCAATCAGAACCATCCCTTTGCATCCCAGGGCTCTCTCCAAGCCACATAGCAAGATCCATTCAGATGAAACTCTTACTCCAGGCAGGAAAACGGATCTGGCGGCCAGTAATTACACAGTATAACCTGCAGCAGAACAGGGCATGAAATGACCTGTATTGGTCACTTTCACCAGGCTCAGACTGGTTTACAAGAAAATTTCCCAGAGAGGTATCTGGCCATCTCCAGCCACATGCTAACAAACCTGTAGTGCTCTCCTGCAATTCTGAGTGTGACCAAAAGGATAGACAAATTCTCCCACAATTCCCTGGAACAGAATCAGGGTGAGGCTGCATACTGCTGCACAGAGAACCATGGGCTATGCCCCCAGATGTCCTAGTGACCCATGCATAGGGGAACGCAAGGCAGACCCTACACACAACCCAGGTGCCAGTCCCCACGGCTATCTATGCATTGAATGGCACACCCTTAGGCAGCCGGTCCAACTTGAAGCATTGCTAGAGGCCCCTTACTTGAAGGACTTCTGAAATCAAACACAATCTCCCTTCATTACACAGGTGAGCCATTAATGAGCTGGTGAGGTACCTTTTAGTGCTGCAGACACCTGGGCAGGTAGGACATTTCTCGCACGTCTCTCCAAAGGCTCCGGGCTCCGTGCATTGGCATTTCCCACAGACACAGTTGCCTCTGCCGCTGCACATCTGACTGTCATTCGAAAGGCAGCGGTTAGTCTCTGTCGAGCAGTTGCAGTTGTCTCCAATGTAACCAGCGTGACACTTGCACTCCCCACAGTGACACTCTCCATGGCCTGAAGGTAACAAGCACAAGCATCAGGCTATAGTACATGTGCTAGCTGGGAAAAGCCTGGGGACTAGGTTGGCCAGCAGTGACACTGGGCAGGAGGTGGGCGGTACAAAGGAACAAAGAAGCATCCGGGAGGCAGGTTATTGGGCAGAGGGTCGGGGAGATAAAAAGATGAATGCACATGCTTATGTATCAAGCTACGAGGAGCCTTAGCACGTTCTTAGTGTCTAGTGATTGTTATTACTATTGTGAGATACAGAGCTGCCTGCAGTAGGGAAATGTGTCTGAACTTTTACAGCCCTGGGACAATTGTTTTCTGTCGTAATCTTCCTCTCCAGCCTCTTGTAAACCTGTAAAAATGAGGTTTGCAGGATCTTTCAAAAAAGGCTTCTATTTTTGAAAGAACCATGGCTAGACTGCGGTTTCGCTTTCGAAATAGCGCTTTTTTGAAAGAGCGCCATGATGCACATATGCAAATGAAGCACGGGAAATTCAAATCCCAGCTTCATTTGCCATTTCGAAGTGTCTAATTTACATCCCTCTGTTGAAAGAGGGATATAATCTAGACACTCCCCTATAGAGTCTCCTTTTTTGAAATGTGACTCCTCCTATCTTATTACCCACTAATACAGATATCGACACTAAGTGCAAACATTTACCTTGAAGCCCTGATAGCACTTTTCAGCAAAAACTCATTGCAAGAATAAAATATTCTCAGCTGATATAGTGGGGTCAATATATACTTTGCTATGCCTATTATCAGGTCTTGACAAGCAGCGGTGAGCCCTGCTCGCTAGCCGCGCGGTTTGGCAAGCTGCGCATGCGCAGACCGTGCTGTGGCACCGTGCCACCCTAAAATCTACTCGCCCCGGGAGAGTAGATTGTCAAGCCCTGCCCATTATTATACATTTCAGACATTCAGGGTTCTTGGCTGTAGATGCTGTGCAGAATGTGCCTAGCAGATTTCCTCTTTCTTATTTTTTATAAGAAAAATATCAGTAGTAGCCTAAAATTTGTTGCTGTGTCAACACAAAGACACCAGGTTTTGGTTAGGATTTCTGCTGTTATTGGATCAGTTTTTAAAAAGGGGGCAAAAAACCCTCAGAGAATTTAAAGCAGAGGACAGTTTAAAAGGTGAAGTTCTTCAGCATGTATAGTTGTTCGTTGTTCCAGTCTGGTAAAGGAAACATCTTAATAAAGGACATGTTTGTTTATAGATCTGCAGAGGGCTTTCTAAATGACCTGAGAATTTCTATGTGCAGCCAGCTTTATCACAGAGGGAAGCAAAGAAAACTCTGCCCTGACAGTGATTTAAAGCAGAAGGGCAAGCAAAGTAGCAATAGAGCAGCCGAGCCTTTGATTCCTCACACCAATCCTCCTTGCTAAAGGTTGCAAAGGTTCTGAAACACCTTCAGGAACATCGTTTTTTAGCCACAATGTGGCTCACACACTGCTGGGTGCTGGAGAGCTACGGTACAATCAACAGAATTTCGATAGTCACTGTAGTTAGCCAAAGCAGACACATAAAACACAGAGTTTGTGGACAGTTTTCCACTGTTGTCTTAGTATAGCATCAGCTTTTCCCAACGTACCCCGAGTGGCAATCAACAGAACCGCCCTTGTTGGGTTTTATGCCTGGTCTCCTCTAGCCTACATGTCTCGGTAAGAAGAGCTTTCTCTTTTTTCCTTCTTTTGTCATAGGACTCAGCTTTATTGTGGCACAATCAAAGGCTGTTAAGAGTGTTCTTTACAGCACTTTCCTGTTTAATGAGCAAGGTATGTGTCAATAATCAGGCTCTCGGATGAACTACTGGAAACTCACTTCTTATGCTACCTTTTCTAGGGAGATCCCTAGATGGGTTCCCTGCCTCAGAAGGCAAATGCTGTAGATAGATAGGCCTTGGATACTCAAGTGATAGGTACCAGATCAACACAGCCCTGCAAATCCGTAGATACCTACTTTATATCTGTGGGTATCTGCATCAGTGGATGTGGATGCGGATTTCCACAGTTCACTTTTGTGGCTATGGATGCAGATGCAAATATACATTTTGTATTCGTGCAGGGTTCTAGAGATCGATACCCACAGATTGGTTCATGGCGTATTTTTAAAAACAAATAATTGATTTATCTGAAAGTTGGGGTAAATTTAGGGTTGCTGAAAACAAGTGAGTATCAGCACTGGTCCAAGCCAAGCACAGAGTGGGCAGTTGCTGTACAGTGCTTCCTCCACACTCTACCCCACCAGTGTCTGCAGTGGTTTTGTGAAAACATCCAAATGCCTAGGCTTCACTTTTCCATGTGACTGGTTCTGGTTTCCAACCTAAGTCATAGCAGTGGGAGGCTGCTGGATTAAGCACTTCACAAGCCAGATCATTTTCTTTCCCTCCTGCTCATCTTTAACAAATGGAAATATCTAAGGCCTTCTTTGGGAAGAGTTTCCCCCCTTCCTCAAAAACAAATCCAGTACCTCAGATTTATTTGCCAAAACCGCCTAGGTACAAGTGACATTCCTGTTTCTCAGACACTGTCATTAACAGCTCTTTGTCAACTCAAAGGAGAAGAAAATATTTCTCAGACTCAAAGTACCTTGCTCAACACGCAATGCGGGAGGTCTGGCTGCAGTCCCTTTGAGTTTGTAGGCAACAGATCCAATAGTTATGGAATAGATAAATGGAGACTCCAATCCAATGGTGCTCCTCCACCAAAGCCGCCCACTGCAGCTGTGGGGTTAGGAGACAGCATAGAGGGTCCAGCATCTCAAAGGCTTTCAGTTACTGTAAATGGAGCATCAAGCTAGCCAATGTGTGGTTTCTGAAAGTCATGATTCAGCTCCCTGTAAATAACGCTGGGATTCTTAACTGCTTACCCCCAGGAGGAAGTTGCTTTTAAAGGCATATTTTATAAAGCCAGACAGTTTTCACAAATGTGCATCAGCAAATTAATTACAGCTTCAGTTTCCCCACTGGAAACAGGCTCATGTTTCTCAGACAAGATTACTAAATAAATGGATTCTTCTCTTCACCACAAACACTCTGCTTTCTCTGGCGTGCCACAGAAACTCCTGCGTTAGCAGACGTGCCAGCGTATCTCTCAAAGACCGACGCTGCAAAACAGGAACTTCTTTTATTTTACTAGCCACCTCATTTGACCTGAAGACTCCTAAGGAACATTCACACAATCCATTATTGTGCTTGGAACCAAACTCATGACTTCAAAATATTACAAGCCATAGAGCAGAAATCACCAACCAGTAGATCGAGATCTACAAGCCTTTGACAGGTGATCCTGATTGGTCTGGCTGGGAAGCTGTCAAGCACCAGCACTTTATCTGTCCCTCTCAGCACTGCCATGCTGCTCCTGCCCTCTGCCTTGGAGGTGCCCCTCAGTCCTGGGAGCCTCCTGCTTGCTATGCAGAGCATGGGAAGAAGAGGAAGGGGGTGCTGATGTCAGAGTGCCCTTCCACAGAGCACAGAAGATCAGGGATGGAGAATTTGCTGGCTGCTTTTGGGAGTGGTGCAGGGCCAGGATAGGGGTGAGCCTGCCGTAGCCTCTGGCACCACCACCCAGAAGCCACCTGTAGTTAGCGATGTCCAGCTGGAGTCCACATTCCCAGTTCTGAACCCCTCCTGCCCCCAAACCTCTGCCCCCAGCCTGATAAAAGTGAGTGAGAATGGGGGAGGGAGGAAGGAGTAGGCAGGGCGGGGCCTTGGGGAAGGGGCAGGAAGGAGGCGGAGCAAGGGTATTTGGGTCTGAGGTAGATGTTGGATTGAATTTACATTTAAAAGTGATCTTGCGCTTAAAAATGCTGGAGACCACTGCCATAGGGTATCTGCATGTCAAATGCAACTCTCCTCTCCTGTACCCGATATTGGTAAGTATAGTTGTCAAGGAGGGACAGACAGAATGCAGTGTCTATTTTAGGCATGTGTGTGCAATTTGTGTGTGCAAGTTGGTTGTTTGCACATGATTGAGTTTCAGACCTGGCTATGCCCATGCACAAATTAGCAAATATATATATTGCCATAAACCGGAGCCCAATTTCAGGTTCGCAGCAAAACATCTGAAACCTAGGAATACAGCATGGTATTTGCATTACATAGCAAAAAGGTCCGTACTCTTCCAGCCCCATCTGCTTCACACACATGTAAAATAGCCAAGAAGTCATTATTGTACAGAAGAAAATGTCCATGGGGAAGTATTGCAGGACCCTGGGCTCTAGAAATAAACCAAGGAATGGTACTGCTCATTAGGAAAGTGTGTCCCTTCCAAACTGGGAATGTAATCTCAGACTGAGAGAAGGTGTATTTTAATGCACCTCCTAGCTAATAAAGTATCATGGTGCAGAGTATTAATGTTTTGAGGGGTTTTTTTTAAAACTTTGTTTGGTTTGGAATCGAGTCTATTAGTGCTGGTTTGAATAATCAAAAAGATTAATGGGTTTCCAACCATTAAAAGAGAGACACTTTTCTTCTGTTCCATCCCTGAAATTAAATGATCTCAGACCCTTTAAGTCTGCATAAGACTAGGAAATGAAATGTTCTCCCTGAATTTGCCCTTAAACGCCCCAGATTACTGAATGGAAACTTCCATTAAATTCCCTTGAATAAAGCTATCCAGATGACCTGTGTGCTTGACAAACCCCACTGTAGGCAATAGAGTAATCCAGACATATAAAAGCCCCAATTATGCATCTCTGTGGGATTCAGCACCAACTTCTGTATCTGAGACTGGAGAGACGCAGAGGCAGTTTGCTAAATAGGAGTTGGGGTGCACAGGGCTGCTTAGGGACCCCAACATGCTATACCTAACACAGTTGTAGGGCCTGATCTGTGCACCCACAGCTCCAGGAAAGTCAAAGAGGCAAGTGCTTTGCACTTCGGGAAGTCCTGCTTTGCGTGTGCTGCACGAACTTCAGCCGTGCACGGATCTGAGTTGCAGTCATGTCCTGCTGTTACTTTAAACATTTGGCAGAACACCTTCTTGTCCTCATTTCACCCCCTC